CTTTACTGAGTGTTGTTAAAAGGAAAGGCGATGTAACACAGTGTTAAAAAGGCCCCTGTGGCAACTTTTTTGCAATGTTTTGCTGCCATTAAATTCTGAGTTAATGGTTATTTGCAAACAAAATGAGGTTTCTCAGTTCGGACTTTAAATATATTGTCTTTGCATTGTATTCAGCTGAATATGGGTTGAAAAAGATTTGCAAGTCATTGTATTCTGTTTTTATTTTTGATTTACATAACATGCCAACTTTTCTGGTTTTGGGTTTTTATTTCGTCCCCCTAAGACAATTCAAACTGTCCATTAGAGCAGGTCCAGACAGCAGAATGCCCTGCTGGTGCGTTTGGGCATTCGTTTGGACCCACAAGCCTCTTCCTCTGTTGACATTCATTAGCGACCTCATGCTCCAACCAGCCACACCAGGCAGCCCTTTCAAAAGACAAAGTTAGAAAATGATCCTTTCTAATTCTTCTCAGATTGAGGGAAAGGTGAAGCACAGATCTGTTTGTGTTAAGCAAACATAACTGCGACCAAATAAAATGGCACATTAGATATTATTTTTTATAACTTAAAGCTACCTGGCAACTTTAAAGTTTTCATTTTTCTTTAAAAATGTCTCCAACATCTTTTTCACTTTAGTTCAATAACAATATTTACAGCCAAAGTTCCCTGTTTTTGAAAACATATCTCATGAATTTTAATGGCGCAGCTGTGATTCATTTCAGATCGGTAGAGGAAAAGGTAGGAAATCAGAAGCAGGTTTTGTGTCGTGTCCGGGTCAGTTTTTGCTCTGACTAAGAAAAGTGACTCTATTTGTTCCAGATGAGATGACAAATGTTCAGTTTCTAGATCTGTTAGAGGGGAAGCTAAGGGTTTGTTGTTTGGAGAACCTATAGTGATTCTAGGCTTGTTTTTTCCAATAATTTAGAGTTTATCTAAGTTGAGATTTTACCCTTTTATTTCCATGATAGTTAGTAGTTCGTTCCAGTCCTCAAATCCACATTCAGTAAATTGAGCAAATCAAAGTGAGCTGCAACAGACTGGATTTAATATATATAAATGAAATCTAAATATTTTATTGAAATATAAATATTTTTATACAATTAATTAAATGTGAAAATGTCAAGAAAATGCCTCAGATGACAGATAATTAACAGAAGGTTCAGTGTGTGTGATTTTTTTGACCTTGTAAAATCTACAAACTGCAAACAAATTAGTGCAATCAGAGGTGTGATTTTGGCTTGGAAAAATCCCAGCTGTCCGTTCTAGAGCTAGATTTCTATTTTTTAACTTCGCAGATCCTTTGGTTACAGAACAGAGAAAAGAAAAATACTCTCAGCTGGGTTGTGTTTTAATTAGAAGAATTATCTGATGAAAGTCGAGTTGAGATAAATGTCTTGGTTCTAAAAAAGAAAAAAAAAAATCATATAAAAATACAGATTTTACAATTAATCACGTTAGTATCAGAATGAAAAACTTTCTTACAGGCATAAATCTGTAATAGACACAAACATCCTTTGTTGCTCCTTTCTCAGACCGGGTGGCGGTGGAGAGGCTGCCTCTGTTAGTGTTACCACGGCGATGACTTTAATGCAACGACTCCCAGCATCACAAACATGCTCAGACCAGCACACACACTACACTCCTATTATTGGCTGACTTTTTATGCTTGTTGATCTGAAAGACTAAAATATCTCACAACTACAATTTATTCTAAACTTTCTTCACAGGATGTTTTTTAATCATCTGGGTTAATGACCTAATTAAATGTTTTAGAATTTACTTCTGATGTGTTTTTAAGTTATTTAGAGATTATTGTAGAATTTGTTTATCAAAGTTTTTAAAAAAATTAAAGATAGAAACATCATTACTTAATTTCATTGTTAAACAAATGAAATATTGACCTTGCTCTAAATTTCCATTATCTTTTTTTTTTTTTTTATCATTGGTAAACTTTGTGTTTATGTAATATTCAGAATGCATAACAATATTCCACAGCTGTGTAAACTCTTCTGCAATTAAGACTACAGGTATTTTACAGCATGATTTTGTTTAATTGTGTTAATTCACCCAGTTGAACCTCTGTTTCATTAGATATACACCCGATCGGTGATCGAGCCCCTCCCTCCTCCTTCAACCAAAGATGCAGCCACCTCCCCCATCATCCCACCAACAACCGCAGCCACAGCTGCCGTCACCCCCTCCCCACCTGCAGAGGCGGCTCCCAGCAGCCCCCCCAGTGCAAGCCCCGCCCCCGGCCCATCTCTGCCTCGCACGCAAGATAAAAGTAAGAAGAAGAAGATGTCTGATGAGGAGATCCTGGAAAAACTACGTAAGTCTGACAGCAGCACACCCTGTGCACTCATGGGTGGACAGGGGCTGATCTTTAGCGTTCTGATTTTTACCCTGCTGCAGAGTACAGATACAGACCAAAGGATGAAACTATTTATACCTGCTGCAGAATGAGAGCAGAGGCTCCACCTGCTTATTTTAGTCTCTTGACAGGGTGTTAGCGTTTTGTTTCTTTCTAAGAATGGATTTGCTTATTTTAAGGGTCAACACAAGCTGGTGATGACTTTTGCAAGTTATTTAAAAAGCATAAAAATATATTTGTATCTGGGATAAAATGTATTACCTGCTAAAGAAAAGCAAACTTTATAATTTTTGTTTATGTTTGCTCACCTTAGACTCTGTACATTCCTCATATTACTTCAGGTTAAAGTTACTTTATACTGAAAATCCAATTCCAGCTTTTTTCTTTATTAACATAAAAGTAAATTATTTTTCTAGAAATACATAAACAAGATTTTATTTGACAGCATTTTAACAGTTTCTAGTTAATCCAATGTTTACACACCACATGCCTAACACCTCTAAATTTAAATCAGTGGAGGAAACAGCATTAAGAGGTGTGAAGTGAGAGATGGAGGATGAGGAAACATTGTTTAGAAGAAAAATACTGCAGAAGTCCAGATTGTCCGTGCAGAACTCTGTTGAAGTTCTTTCCTACTTATTTCAAGAAAATTCTGGAAAAGGAAAATTTTTTAAAATTCTTCAATTCCCATCCATCAAGCCATCCATCGCTTTTGCAGATATTTTGGTGCTTTATTTAAATCCTGGTTGCATACATGTCTGCATTAAATTTCATATGAACTTTGATATTTATGGCTTACAATGAGCCAAAAATTTACCAAGAACCTGTGGATTTCACTGGACCTTAAAATATTAGTGTGACCCCTTACAGGTCTTTCATTTTTTTTAAATATTTTTTTTCATTTTTTTTCTCCACACCTTAAACGTCTCATATTGTGCTGCATTTGGAAAAAAAAATAATAATAATTTACAAAGAGCCCTCCACGGCATTATTCTGCCATTTGTGCAGGGAAATTCTTCTAAGATTAGGCAGACCGCATTTACCAAAAATCTCCTTATTCAGCCCTCCTCTGGATGAGCTGTTTTAGCTTTTTATGCCCTTTCCTGCGCCCTCACAACAAGCAACCATGACAACCAGTTAGTTTGTAGAGACGGCCACTTGGAGCGTGGAATAACACATTAAATGAAGGCCCTACCTTCACCGATGGGCTGCTGCAGACTGCTCTGGACATTTTTATTTCCCCTTATGACATCATAAAGGGAATGCTTTTCAAACAGAGCATTTTGAGCACACATTAGATAAGAGGTGGAAAACTGTAGTGAGAGAGGTTCAGGGTTTATTTCATTTGTGAATTGCATACAGCAGCTTCAGGACACATGAGCATTACAAAATGTCTATTATGTGAATTTTGCATAATATGGGACTTTTAATATTAAAGATCTTCAAACAAGCATTAGTACCAAACAGATAAAACAAAGTATAAATGCGGTTTGAAAAGATGATTTCACCTATGAGGGGGGGAATGCTGACCAATCTACCAGACCTAAGCAAGTGAGTACTTATATTTCAAGCCAACTCATGGATTAACTGTGATTAACCAGATGTTTAGGACAGAAGAGGTTCTTCCACCTAACCTGAAGAATCAAGAATACACTTAAACAATACCTCTGACAACATGTAGGTGGCTAAAAGATCTCACATGGCAATAAATAACCCCCAGATAAAGTAATACAGGTAGATATCTGACACAAAGTCGTTCCCATATGTCTTTTAGACTCCATCGAACTATGCAGAAATGAAGAAAACGTGGAGCGATACAGAACCCACTCATTAGCAACTGGCATTTCTAAATTCGACCAATAACAGAGCATTTCAGAAAAAGAATATTGCAAATATAATCAAATGAACTTTGATTATATTTGGCTGCTTTGCTACTTTAGCACTTAGACAACTTGCTGTAATTGATGGAACCATAAACTCTACTCAATAAACCCTGAAGGAGAATGCTTTAGTTATTTTTTTCCCCCTCTTAGAAATTAAAATAATTAATTACAAAGTGTATATAGGTCTTAATGGAGTTAAGGTTATATTTAACAGCGACAAAGAAAGAAAATCTAAGGGGAAAGTTGCCATGGGTTATATAACAGCATTGTATCCATCCCTTTCAACATGGCGCTTCAGGCCCGTTACTGAACGGGGTTTCCCAGCAGCAGGAGATTGTTTGGCTCTTAGGAATCTGACAAATGATTTTTAAAATAGCTGTCCTCATTGTTTCCTGCTGAGCGAGTTTCACCAACTCGTTAATAAGCTGCAGCACTTTGTTTTAGCTGAAATGTCTCCTCACAGCAATCTGCAGCTCATTTTAACAAGTAGCCTGAAAATGGCAGTTCTTTCTTCTTGTCCGTCATAGCTCCAAATCAGTTACTAAAACTTCCACACATTAGGCAATAAGTCTTTACTCCCTTGATGATGAGATGTTTTGGTGTGTATATATACTGTATGGATAAAACTGTATATTTTCACCATGCCTGTTCAGATGTGCTCAGGTCTCCCTCTGCTGGTAAGAGCAGGACACTGCTTGTCTGTCTGCCTCTTATTGACAGACCTGATATCCACTTTCAGCTGACTCCTCTGTGCAATCCTTCTGTCTGATTAATTGTTCTTTCTCTCAATCTCCTGTGGTTGCTTTTTCCCCCTAAATTAATCCTCTAATTCTTTTCCTTTGGCCATTTATCACAATTAACAGCTGACTATTCAGTGATTCTGTGTTGAGACTTTTCTCCTAGGAAATTAAATTAGTTTCCTTTAAGTTACCTTTGGTTTCAGATTTTGTGTTCCTTGGTTTTTAACTTGTTTTGCACGCTGCATTAAGTTTACTAAGTTTGACAGAGAAGATGTAGAGAAGAATAAAAATGGATAGAAACTCACTTTTCTACCAATGAAATGATTATAAATGTTGTTTTGGAAGACTTTTTGCTGCTTTGTTTTCTTGGTCAATAAATAAATTTGTTCTGTTCTTTCTCTTTTTTATTCTCCTCAGGGACAATTGTTAGCGTTGGAGACCCCAAGAAGAAATATACACGATTTGAAAAGATAGGACAGGGGTGAGTGCTTTTTTAATTATAATGTAAAAAGTCTAAAATCTGGTAGTGACACATATTACAGTGTACACTTTTCATACCATTTTTTTAAATCTCCAAAACTAAAAATATAAATAAAAAAAAAACTTTCCAGGATTTTTCCAGAAATTTTCCATCTATTTTTCAGCTATTTTCCTTTACAAGAAACTTTAAGGTACAGGGTTGTGTTGATGTCATTAGTAGTTTGCAGGGATTACAGGTTATTTTAAGAAATTTTAATAAAATTCCCAAAATTAAAGGTTAATTTCACAGCATTGAAAGAAAATGAAAAGGCCCCTGAAAACAAGCTGTAAGAGTTTTAAGATAACACACTTCTAGTCATTGTATCCCATAGGATTAACCTTCAAATTTATGGAAAGTAATGTGTAACATTATAAGTTCCACAAAGTATTTACATCAAAATCAATACATGATACACCCCAGTCATTTAAAGGACTTAGTTGTTGATGTTTTTTACTTGTAAGTTCATAAAATTAGGCCTGTAAGACTTAAGTTCTAGTAAGTACATTGTTCCAGATTTCCCTATCATGCACTCTAGTTGACCTGTAAAACAAAAAGTTAACTTTTAAGTCAAAAGTAACTCCATTATACTAGAGCCCATTGGACTGCTCCAGGAAAGGCTGGGGGAACGAGTCAATTTGTGACACACTCCAGTGCATGAAATATAAGTTCTTATAAGTATTTATTGACTTAGATTAAGGTTGGGCAATATATTGTGATTTTGAAAATATCTTTTTTTTTTTTTTTTCAAAAGAGATAAAAGATAAGTCTATATCAGATGGTCTACATTGCAATATAATCACACTTTTATGAATTCTATTGGCATATTTTCATTGATGATCTAATGTTTATCTCTTTGTTGAAGAAGGTACAGGCCTGACATTTGGGGCAGAGCTTTTATTCACAGCGGCCTTTTTTTTTTGATTATTTTATGAAAAGACAAACATGTTGAAGAATTTCAGATATTTTCATTCAGTTAAAAATATTGAAACATAATTTTTTTGTCCATATAAACTAGCCCTAACTTGCAGTAAAGTTTATTGTAAATTCTGGAAATTCCCAAATTAAAAGTTAAATCAGTAATTCCCTCCCCCAAAGTAACCCTTAAGTTATTCTTAAAATACAGTGGAGAATTGTAGTATAATAGTTATTGAAGGTAAGTTCTGGAAAGTCCTGGGTTCCAAGTTGCCTCATGATAAAACATCCTGTACATGTGATGTATGATGCATTTTATTTATACCCATTTCCTCCCAGTTTTGTTTATTACAGGCCTTTTTTTAACTTAAATTGTTGTTTTTAAGTAAACTATAATCAAGGGTTGTTTATTAGTCAGCCTTTACTTACTACTTTTTTCTCTGTAAACATTTTGCAGAAAGCATTTGGAGGAAAATATAGAGGCTTGTGACCAAGTCGTCTTTTAGTTAAACCTGGAGCCACATGAAGTGTTTATTGTGAAGCAAAACACCCAACATTTCATGATGATTTAGATCAGTTTATCTTTCCAAGTAGTTGATTTATGAGCTTTATATAGGATTTTATTTAAAGCATTTAAATTTCTCTTTTTTTATGTACAGTATATGGCATTTTAAATGTGTTTTATTTTTGTTTCCTAAACTTAGCCACTCTAACAGTATCCTTGAGGAGTTGTTGTTGTATTGTATACATGTTGAAGTATATATATGTTCTAAAAAGATATAAAACCAACAAAAATGTTTTCTTTAAATAGTATAATTTCAGCCTACCACCTGCTCAAACTTGTCTAACTGGACTTTCTTGCTTTTTCTTAGAGCTTCTGGCACGGTGTACACAGCTATCGACATCGCTACAGGACAGGAGGTTGGTTCTTCAAAAACTGATGAGACGTTAAACTTGTTATATTTTAATGTTAATCTATAAAACATTTGCCACAAAACTGGGAAAAACTACATCCTACTAATTATAAGCTTGAAACTTCTATAAAACCAAAGAAATAAGGAGTGTCTAACTCCTGCAAACATAGTCATTTCTGATTTGAATATTTGTTTTAAAATATGTCTCTGAAATATCAATTCAGTAACTAAAGTAAGTTTAAATGAAATTTCGAACCAAAGCCTAATTGAAATATTCATAAGATATGTGCAACAGACATTTATTTAACCTTTCTTAAGCCTTTATTTGAAGCAAAACAACCCAGCTGATTACATTATACAGCTGATTCCTTCTGTCAAACTCACACTCATTACGTCTACTCTCAGATTGTAAACTCTTTACTCCCTGTAGATGTATGCATCCTGTTCATGTCATCCTTTACTTCATTGCGGTCTTTCCCCTCAGGTTGCCATCAAACAGATGAACTTGCAGCAGCAGCCGAAAAAAGAGCTGATCATCAACGAGATTCTGGTGATGAGGGAAAACAAAAACCCAAACATTGTCAACTACCTGGACAGGTTAGCTCTCACAGCAAACTTCTAGTCCTTGGAGAAGATAAATCACTGGAACGAGAGGAAGGAGGTGGTGGGGAAAGCTTTTGGACTGAGAAAAGTCTTTTTACAAATATAAAGGAATTTTTAGTTAAACAAAAGTATTTACAGTTTATTGGAACTTTCTAATAATGTGAATATTTTGAGACATAGATTCAGATGTTATATTGTTGTTAAGTGTTTTATCAAACCACCTTCAGGATATCCCAGCATGTTCTCTGTTATCTTTAGGATCTGTTAAGCTGTAGCTTCAGGTATATTATGGACATACAGAGAGTGAATGCGTGACACTTAAATATTGCAGCTAAACAACTGCAGCCTCACACAGGATGATGAGTGATAACAACTGGGATTTACTAAGATGTGTTGTTAATAGTATTATCATATGGGTATTAAACTTTTGCACACTCATGGGACTGAATTACTTTCTGTCTTTTTAGTGCTATTCTTTCGTTTTATAAGATTTCCTCATAATATAACTTTAGTGTCATCTTGTTGTTCAGCTTTGAATTTAAAGCATTTATTACAAACATTCTATTTTAAGAACAGATCTACGTTAGTTTATCTTTTCCTTTTTAAAGTTAACCTTTTTTGTGTTTAATTTAAAAAGTAGAGATTTAATCGATTATTTTGAGCCCTCCAGATTGTTAGTGTTCAAAAATCGCTAAACTATGTAATGAAGTTAGTGATCCGAACACAAGAGCTGCTCTGGGAGTTTTCAGGTCTGTCAGTTAAAGCAAAACATCCAAAGAGCTGGTTTTGGTCAGACTTTGACGGGTGCATTCAGTTCATAGAAACCCAGCGTCTGTGGTATGTCTGGTTACCACGGTAACTCATCTGATGCGGAGGTATCAAGGAGGCTGGTGCCAGCGCTGTCATCTCCATGGAAACACCATTTTGCTGTTACTGATATACTGGCTGTGTGTTTAATGTGTTTTTTTTCTGGACTGTTACATCATTCAGGAACATGTAATGTGTGTTGGCTCCCATTTTATGAGCACTCTGTTGCCCATGGGTCACTGGTTTCTGATTGGTTTAAACTGGTACGGCAAACAGATGTTCACAGGTGCACAAAAAAAAAATAAAAATTATAAAAATAAGTATACTAATATATTAAGATGATTTTTTTTTTCTTCCAGAGCTAATGGTTAGCATTAGCAGGACAACTTGTTTTTATTTGCAAAAAAAAAAAAAAATTATGTTTTTATTATTATTATTATGTTATAGTTTTTCCTACATTGGTTTTAATCTTATAAGTTTGGTTAACATGTTGTTAGTTTATTTATCGTTGTTTTAAAACAAAAAATTTTTTTTCATTTTTTTTATCTAGATTTTTCTATTTTTTGCCCATAGTTGTAAACACTGATTGTGTAAATAATCTAAATACTTGTACCTGTTGCCTGGTCTAGTTATCTGGTTGGAGACGAGCTCTGGGTGGTGATGGAGTACCTGGCTGGAGGTTCTCTGACCGACGTCGTCACGGAAACCTGTATGGATGAAGCTCAGATTGCTGCTGTGTGCAGAGAGGTAAGAAACAGGTTAAACCATTTTTAGGGCTTTATTTGTCAAAAAATTGTTCTCATCAAGAAAATGTATGTGATATGTTTCATTGAAATAAGAAAACTCCCAAAGCACATGCTTAGAAAAAATAAAACCCAACAGAAACCCCACACTTTAAATGAGAAAACAAACACATTTCCACTTCACTATAGTGAACCTTTTTTGGAGTTTTTCATTATTTCTATTCAACGTTTACTGTGGAAAGAGTGAAAGGACTTATTTTGTTTTAATTGGCAAACAACATGATTTTATTTATCATTTCATGCTAAAAAGTTGAAAACACTTGACCTAAAGAAAGTTTACAAATTACAGTATTTAATTTTGTATAAATAGTCTGATAGACAGGATACAGGGTTAATTACTTTCCCATCAGAATAACATCTGTAAACCAGATAAAGCTTTTAATGGCCGACATTCTGGCTGCCAAAAGTAACAAACATCGGGCTTAACTAGAGGAGCTTTAGAGGTACTTTTATTTATAATGTTCACAAAGCCAGAACTTTGTCTAAATGGGCTGCAGCCATCAGAATGCAACTTCTTCATGTAATATTCTAACTGCTTTAGCATGAGGTATGTTTTTACACCGGCAGTATTATTCTTGTTAATTTGTTGTGATGTATCTTTGATAACTGTATTCAAGCTCCATTGTTTTTGTTCAGTGTCTTCAGGCCTTAGAGTTTCTCCACTCGAACCAGGTCATCCATCGAGACATCAAGAGCGACAACATTCTGCTGGGCATGGACGGCTCCGTCAAACTCAGTCAGTCTTACTTTGTTTCCTGTTTCTTTTGCCTTTCTCACGAAATGCTTCCTCCATGCTCTGAGAAAATCAGAAAATTTATTTCACTTGGAATGAGAACTGTGGAAAAATAGGTTAAGAAAGGTGTGCGATTTCTCTTTTTTTTTTTTTTTTCTTCCCATCATGGATGCTTCATGGCCCTTCTCTTGGCTGCCTTTGCCCCCATAAATGATGGCAACCTTTCATTAAGAAAAGGAGGTGTAGAGTGAAACATCTCACACGTTTAGTCTGTTTTCTTGGCAGCTCAGATGTGTGCTGGGTTTACTTTTAACCCTCCATCCTTTCAGAAAACACAGACTTGATGGGAGCTGTCCCAGTTTGTGCCTGTAGTGAATTAGTAATCTATCTACTTTACGTCTAAAAGCATTTTTCTGCTAAACAATTTTTCAGTTATCAGCTCTCAATAAACTACTTTTTTATTTGTGTCTCTATCATGAAAATGGCGCAAATATTCAATCAAAAATACCAATGTAACAGTCTGATAAAAGAAAATGAAGTGATTTGGCCCAAAGTGACTCTCATCCAAAAAAGATGAAAGTGGTTAAAGTTTATTGAGGTCTTTTAATCTCCAAATGTGCTTTCTCTCTCTCCTCCTTCCAGCCGACTTTGGATTCTGCGCCCAGATCACACCGGAGCAGAGTAAGCGCAGCACCATGGTCGGCACGCCGTACTGGATGGCTCCAGAGGTGGTGACCCGAAAGGCTTATGGACCCAAAGTGGACATCTGGTCCCTAGGCATCATGGCCATTGAGATGGTGGAGGGGGAGCCGCCATATCTGAATGAGAATCCCCTCAGGGTGAGAGCGGCAGCTTTAGATTTAACTTTAAATGCATCAAGTTGATTTGAACGTTTAACAGTTTTTATGTTAAGTTTTTCAGAAAAAAAATGAAGAAAGGGTTTCTTCATTTGTGATCAATTTTAGCAGACAAAATAAGGGTTTTCAGCATTAAATTGAACTGAAATAGCTTAACAAGGAAGAACTTAACAATATTATGAGGAAGTGGATTTCATTAAAAGTAAAATCGCATTCCAACACTGACAAGAATATTATACACCTGTTGGATGACTCAATGAGGCGGAGCGACAACAAAGTCAAATGTTCAGATTCAATTTCAGTCTTTATTAAATCAGCCACTAGATGGCAGTAAAACATTTAGGTTATGTTATGACTAAAAGCCTTTCTTTGCCTTTTTAATGCTATAAAAAAATGTTGTTTTGGGTTTTTTTTGTTTCTGCTTCATTTAGGCGCTGTATCTCATAGCAACTAACGGGACGCCAGAGCTGCAGAACCCAGAGAAGCTGTCAACAATATTCAGAGACTTCCTGAACCGGTGTTTGGAGATGGACGTGGAGAAACGGGGCTCTGCTAAAGAACTCCTGCAGGTACAGCAGGGCTGGCTTTCTCTCATCAGCAATAACAAAATGTGCAGACGGAGGGAGAGGTTCATCGTTTTTCTTTTACTAACAGCTTTAGCTATTATTTTCTTTACCTTGTTAAGTAAGTAAATGATAATAATAATAAAAGGGAAAACTGGGGTCCTCCTTCCTGTGATTTAGAACATCTGAGTTGAAAAATAATCATGTCTGTTTGGCTTTTAACCTTTTATCTGAATAAAAAAAACTGTTGGTTATATTAACTTCAAGTCATGGGGAAAAAAAACAATTAATAGGGCCTTAATTTAAATGAAATAAATCAAAGTTCTTCACAGGAAAAAAAACATTTTTGGTTGTTTTTAGGGAAAATTGTTACTTAAAGCAACTGACCTCCTAAGATGGGATGAGACTAGTCCGTACCTTATAGATCAGTAATGAACTTTTAAAGTATTATCAAGTGAGGACATTCTAAAAATAAACAGATTGGACTGTGTTTTGCTGTCTTGTTTTAACAACTACATTTACATGAACGCCTCTAGTTACCTAATTATCCGGGCCGCTTGTTTTGGGCTCATTTAATCGCCACAGCCTAATGGAAAACAAGCCAAGTTAAATAAGGGTAATTACCATCTGAAAACAAAACAAAGCAGTAAAAGTGGTTAACTAGATAACACTGATTCAAAGTGTGATTTAAAAACAACTTTTTCTCATTTGTTGCACTAAACAGAAAACATGAGGACATGAACTGTAACTGGGAGTTTTTAATCTGTGCTTTGAATAAATATGTCTGTTCCTCTCCCCCATCCTCTTCCAGCACCAGTTTCTGAAGATGGCGAAGCCTCTTTCCAGTCTGACTCCTCTCATCCTGGCAGCGAAGGAGGCAGCAAAGAACAACCGTTAGCTGGCTTTGAATTTCCCCCTCCTGTACGTCTGTGAACACTCCTCAGAAGGTGGTGACAGCTGCCTGCCGGGGTATGAGACGCTCAGAAGGACTGTGGTCATTCTTTCTGAGTGTTTTTCTCTCACAGCGACAGCTTCTTTCTTTAATCTGGCTCTTTTGCCGTTGACCACGAGGGGCGACGCTTCCACAGCCCCCACCTCACCACCTGACAGAGAAAGCTTCTTCAACACTCCATCAGACCTGGACGAAAGGATCGAGGGATGCCTTTATTGACGTTGCTGTCCTCATAGCCAACATGTTGACTTTATTGAGTTTACTGTCAGAGCCCAAAGACGCATGGTAGTTATTTGTTTTTAGTTGGTACTTCTTTTCAGGACCACGTCATCCAGTCTCACGTCTCTCACCGTGTCTGTTAGCTCCTCGTCTTTTGGACGATTCGGGAGTAATTTCTTTCAAACTATTTTCCTTGTTTTTTTGTGTGTTCAAATCCCCTTCCAGTGGACCATCGGGGTTTTAATTAAGTTGATTGTAGTGTGATCTTCTGTAGGTTTTGGAGCTCAGTGCTTTGTTGTGTCTTTGTGAATGTTGATCGTTTTGAGGAAACACTGGTTTGCCCAGAGCCATTGATGGACGAGCTTCAGTGATGAACCCATGAAGTTTTCTGTTCGCAACCCACAGATTTTTCATCTTAGAGCTTAAACTGGTAATGGTTTAAGAATTAAGTTTATCCAGTCAGCCCAGCCTCATCAGGAGATGCCTAACAAGTAAATCCCATGTATTACAAAAGCTGCACTGGTTTATCTGACTCGGTACTTTTATAAACAGATTTAGCTGTTTATTTTATTAGTTATGCAGGTGCTGTTTATAGCTTCTCTTCTCCTTACAGATTCCTTCTGTTTTTGCTCTATTCTCACATTTCAGTGTTTCAGAATCTCAAACCAATTTCAATATTATAGTCTGAAGCCCAAAGTGCATACATAAAGTGTTTTTTAATTGATTAATTCAGATATTAAGGTATAAAAACTGTCCAAACTAACCTGACCAGCTGTGAAAACTGCCATCAGGTGTTTGTGATGTTCTATCCTCTACATTGGACCAGCGCTCTTTACAGAAATATTTCAGTTTGGCCTCTTTGAGATCATGCCTCAGCTTCTTCTTCAGATTTAAGTACAGAATTTAACAATGCTGTTTAGAAGTGGTTTTGTTGTTGTTTATTGGATCATTGACCGGCTGCAAAACTAACTGTACTTAAAATGGTTGGATATTTTCCTTCAGAATATTCAGAATGGTATTTGTTATAGTTTATTCCAAACCAGTTGGTTCATTATCTTTTTCAGCCTCTATTAAGAGCCGTTGTAGAAGCTCCAAAGAGCCACTTGCTGCTCTGGAGCCACATGTTGCAGAGCCCTGAGTTATTGCCAAACAGTGAGAGGAAATTCTGTGTTTTCAAAAGAAAAAGAAAAGGAAAAATATTGTAGTTCTTAGTAATTTACAACTTGCTATATTTTAGGGCAGTGATGGTTATAAAGTCTAATGGTCACTAGGAAGAAAGATATGCGACAACGCTCCATAGACTCAATGCGAAAAAATGTAAAAGTCAGTAAAATGTCTTAAAATACGTGTACTTACCCTTAGTTTGAGTAGACAAATAAATTGATCTGCCAATGAATGAGTATTTTTAACCTTAAAATATGATTATTTTATATTACGCTCTTGAAAAGAGACTGCTTGCTTGTTTTTTCTTATTTGTAATATAAATTACCTCATTCAATTGGCAAAGTGTCTCACTTTACCTACCTGCTCGTTTCAGGAAAAAAATGCACTTATTTTAAGGAAAGTTGACTGACTTAGATTTCACTTTTTTGCAGACTATTGTCCAACAATCAGACTAATAATTTCTTTAATTTTACTATATTCAGGCCTGGATATATAAACCAAAACTGGTTGAACCAAAACATTTATCAGAAAAAGGATAGATCCATTTTCTCTTGGAGACAAATTTATTTTTTCCCCATTTAATTAAGGAAATTATGATTGGAAAAATATTTTTTTCTCTGAATAATAAAAATATTATAAAAAACAGAAGGAATTTGTATGGAGGCAAATAAGAAGTCACACAGCTGTAGAACTGGAGATGGATGTTCTTAGTTTTTAACCATGATTGTATGTTGATGTCAAACACAGGAAGGAAAGTTCATCTGTGGCTCTGAGGCGTGGCTGTCTGTGGGCCTGTGAGGGAGAATGTGCATGAATAAAACCTTTTCTTTGTTTTTATACGGTACGTTTATCATAGAGAAAAAAGAACAAGCGATCAACGAGCGTAGGGATGATTAATGAAGGATGTTTGTGTACGATAGAGATCATATCTTGAATCCTATTTTTTAAAGGACATATGAAAGGCACAAAGGTACCATGTTGTTTTTGAAGCCCAGAGGAGCCCTGTGGACATAAGGTGTATATTTTACATGTAAGAAGAAAAACAGCCTACTTTAGCTTTTGTTTACCAGGTTTTTTTTCTATATATCTATCAATGATAGAAAACAAGCTCATTACATGTTAAGGATTTTTTAACCAGTTGAGTTATTTTACATGTCGCAGGTAAAATAAAAAAGGTTCACCCAGAATGAGATAAACTCTGCAAACTTCTAAACATTTACTCCCAACTGTCACAGATGATGTGCTCTCTTCTGTTTTTTAAATTATTATTTTTGTAGCTTTTTAAGTGCTTCTGCCTTAAACAGTTTTAAAGGCTTAAGACTTTTAGTTTGAAGTAATGAGCTGCAGGATTTTCAGCCAAAACTACTTTTATTTTGAACTCTTTAAAAAAAACATTAAAAAACAAAGCATTTTAATCAGGTCTAATTGATTTTGTCAAATGAAGTTTCTACTACGTTTTCTATGCCGCAGTGCAGTTGCATCAGCTCAACAAGATTGAAGTTTTTTTTTAGTTTTGGTTGAAAATGTTGCAGTTTTGTTTTGGCTCATTTGACCAAATCTGAATCCTCACGAATCTCAGCTCATAATAAAGGGCTATTCTGTAGCTTTCCATTGGATGTTAGCTCTCTAGATTGTACCACAAATCAGGTGAATCATTCTTAAATTACTAACTTATCATAATGGGGAAAATCACAAACTCTACCTGAAAACATTTACTGTACAACTAGCTCAGAAATAAAACCTCTCACCACACTGTAGTCCGTACTGTTTGCAAATATCTGAGCATGATTATTTTCATGATTTATTTCATTTAATTTTCATTATTTATAAATTATATCGTTTACATTTCTTTAACGTAAACGATATAACTTTCATCTCTTTACAAGTTATACTTCTTTCCATGCAACCAGCTGCAGACCATTGTAGTGGATCAGTCTTATAAACATGAATGTTTTGGTAGATAGCGGTCCTATGTAGATGCGAGTAGAAATATTTAGTATTTATGAAATAAAATTCCATGAAATTGCTTTGAAAATTATTTAAGATGGTGAAAATCTACTTTGTGCTTAAATCCAATAAGATAAACATCTGGAGTTTGGACTTAATGAGTTTTAATCTGCTCTGTGTAAGATGCTGACTGCTAACGATGCTCATCATAACCCTACTTTTAAAAAAACTATCTGAACTGTCCTCCAGGCACAGCATTCATTCACTGTTACCTGATATGCAGAGAATAAAGGCACTTTCCAGACAATAGCGCCACCTATTCTTTGGAGGAATATCAGTTTTGCACAAAGGGCAGCAGCTTGGATGGGGATTCAGACTTGGCCCATATCACCTTTCTTAGAACGCCAATAAGATCAAATGAGGTCTCCAATCTTTCCTGTAACAGAGCCATAATTTATCTGTTTGTACAATTTATTTTGATTTTTCAAAACGACTGAAAAGGAACAAATAAAAATGTGCTAAAACTGAACATGGTGGCTTGTTTTCTATCCTGAAAGTTTCTCTGTGACTGAATGTTTTGTGTGGGGTTTGAAAACAGATTGCGATTGTTAACAGGTGATATTCTGGTTCCTAAATCCAGATTAGTGGGAAAGACTCTTGCAGAAACTTCCAGGCATAGAGTAGAACCAGTTCTCTGTTTAATACCGTAATAAGGATTTGTTATTTTATTTTATTTTTAAGACCGTTTCCTGAGCCTCTTAACCCATTAAGTAAATTACGTAAAGTGCTGTGCTGTAAATCAGGGAGAAAAATAATCTGAAATAATCTTTCTTGCTCTCACTGAACCTGTTTCTCCTTCACTCCTGAGGATTTCCTTCTCCTTTCTCCGCACAGATAATTACCGTCCGCCTGCTTTCATCTTCGTACTAACAGATAATGAGGCAGCATGTGAGTCAGTTTTATGACCCCAAGTGGCGGAGCAGCTGATTCAGTTCAGGTTGTTGCATAATTCCAAACTTTGATTAACGTTTCTGCTGACTGAACGCGGGCCTGCTGGCTCTGAACGCAGCTTTCAGATCAGAAAAAACTGGCAGAACGTCAGGAGGATGCAGCCGACCAGATGATTCCCTATGCTTCACATGAGCATTGGGCCAATTTTACATAAATTCAGCCATGAACAATTTGCAAATGTGAAGGTGATGATGGACTTTTGCAATCTTTTGATTGGTTAATAGGGTATTTGAGTCAACTGAACTGTGTTTAAAGAAAAATGTTCACACTTTCTTCTGGCTTCTGATTTTTTAAGAGCAAAAATCAGAAGTATCGGAGAGCAATGCGCCTCCATAAAGCTGGTTCATCCTTTGGTTCTAATAACTGAAGACACCAGGATTATAAATAGCTATCAGATCGTACAGGAAGGGTACTAGTTCTGTTTCCCAAAGAATTACCTGTTTTGGTGCAAAAGAGTTTTTATCCACAGTCAATCAAGTTCTAATACAGACAGGCACTCAGTATATTCAAGAGGATTTTAAGGGCCTCAACTTTAAGTAAAATCTACTGATTCAATTAAATACATTTAAGTTTAAAGATTAAATAGCAAATTAAATCTTTTTTTAAATACTTTGAATTTACTTATAATGTTATAAATGCTGAATAATTCCAAGTCATTTTTTAATGAAAACTTATTGTTGCATATATGTACGCATATGTTATGCATCTGAAAAAATATATGTTAAACACTAGATAACTAAAATAAAAACTAATCAATGTTTAATATCCTATGGAGGTTATTGTTTTTGAGTGGAATCAATACTGTTTCCCCATTTATTGCCAAGAAATATAACTGGGATTCTATAGGGTTAAATTAGCATTTAAATCTAACAGCAACCTCAACCATGGCGTTGCAGCATTAGCCACACCCCTTCCCAATTATGGGATCCTATTGTCCAAATCCCAAATCTGCACCAGCGCTTCCTCATTACAGTTAAGTTGTTATTTATTTATCTAATTAAGTTATGCCAATTTGATACACAAATAGTTCAGTTTAATAAAAAAGTTTGAGTTAAACCACGTTGAGTTAAACCTTCACACCAACTAAACATATTTCAGTGAGCAGAAATGTTAACAAAATACTGTTTCTTGACTACTTGGTCTACTTACTTTATCAACAGTGTTTGTCCAAACATTTTGGTTTACAGTGAATCTAGAAAAAAGTAAACATTTATTAGTGCAGCATTGCTTACAAAAACATACTTGTTCTTACCTTGAATAAACAGCAACCAACTTCAGCTGATGGTCAGCTGGCCGTGGCAGAAATCTGCATTGATTAAAATAAGAAAAGTTTATACAAAATAATTTAGTGATATGTAAAGCTGGGCTGCTCAGTCCAACAGTAGGAAGCACTGCTGCATTGCAGCAAGAAGGTTGCAGGTTCGAATTCCCGGCCCGGGGTCTTTCTGCATGGAGTTTGCATGTCCTCCCTGAGCATGCATGGGTTTTCTGCAGGTACTCCGGCTTCCTTCCACTGTCCAAAAACATGACTATTAGATTAAATGTTTTCTCTAAATTCTCAGATGTGTGTGTGTGTGTGTGTGTGAGAATGGTTGTTTGTCTCAGTTTTGCCTTCGATAGACTGGCGACCTCTCCATGGTGTACCCCGCCTCTTTCCTATTGACTGCTGGAGATGGGCTCCCCTCGCAACCCCAGCAGGGGTAAGCGTGACAGAAGATGGAGGGAATATATAAAGTATTTTTTTTATTATTTAAAGGATATTAGTATTCATTTTGTACAAATGAATCTAGTCCAGTCAGTTTTTAGAGTCGTCTGAAGGGCCAGTCGGAACCAAAGGAAAGACACAGATTGGAGCTTGCCAGGGCACTTAGAGAAAAAGATCTGCATGGAATATGGTCAGATGGAACTAAAAAAAAAAAAAATTGACCACAACGAGCATCTTTACTTTTTGAAGGAGAATTAGTAAAGCTTGCTACTCTGAAGAAACCATCCCATAGATGACCCGGCAGGGGGCCAAAGCTTGATTCAAAGATGACCTCACATTTGACTTAAGATTAGAGTTTATGTCTGAGGAAACAGGATGAAACGTTCATTATGGATTTAAAGTTGTGTTAAAAAGCTTGTTTTTATTTGGATCTCCTCAGAACCTAAAATATTTTCCAATTTCCTCATTAGAAAGGAGGAGAGATTCAGACCTGAACCTTCAGAGGCACATATAGGCAGTTACTACGGTAAGTCAGCCTTTTATCACCTGAAGGACGCCTCCAGGATTCTCAGGTCTTCTAATTAAAGACAACTCTGTCCATCCAGAACTAGAACTAAACATAGGAGCAGCATTTACTTCGTATTCTCCACTGATCTGGAAAAAATAGACTGTAAAAGTGCTGAAAGCCTTAGTTCTTTAAATCAAAGTTAAAAACCTGTTTGTTTAGAGCTGCCTTTGACTGTTGAAGTTAAACTTCTAACTGAACTATCATTAGTTTAAGGTTGTGATCCAACAGTTTTATTTTCTTTTATTTTTTACTTGCTTTTATTCTGCTTTTTTGTGGTCAAATTGTTTTATTTGTTTCACAAAGTTATTCAGCTGTAATTTATCTTTTTAATTGTCCATGTATTGGAGGGTGCTATATGAATAAACTTGCCTTGCTTAATATTCTCAGTTAGATTTAGGTTAGGACTTGTCAGTCCTTAAATGCTTTTGTTCCAACATTCTATTTTATTTAGTTCCATATCTTATGTCACTGCTGAAGAAATGCATCCCACAGCATAATGCTGCCACCACCATGTTCTACCATTAACAGCCCGATCCAGGGGGGTATAGATGTATCTTTTTCCCACTCTTCCATAAAGGTTTAAAATTAAGGAGTGCACCATTTATTGCTCTCACAATCATGTGCTACACCCTGTTGGTCAATCATAAGCACAATAACAGAAACGCCAAAACAAATAATGCTTTTTCAAGGCA